CTTCAAACATAACATAGTTGCATCACGAACCAAAGCAATTAAGCAAAAATCTTCATATTCAAAGTAGAATGACTCAATTCAATTTGGCCAACGCTTTATACATATTGTTTACCCCTGGACCTGTTGCACTTGCGCCTTCAGATCTTCGTGAACCCAATACAATTGCGGAGAGGAGGCTGTCAACGGAATAAAAATTGTTAATTAAGTGAATCACCATACAACTAAACAAACGCGCTGTTCTTGATTAGCTATCAAAATAGTGGGGGTCGCTACAATCCATCGGTTGCTCCCTCTGCGCCTAAGTTGTAGATATTAGGTTTCAGTGAGAACTTTGAGTACATGAGGAGATATTTTGTAGTGGAGGAGATGACCCGGCGAGTAGAGTAGGAAGATTTGGAGAGGCTGCGATGGGCAAAGCAGTTAAAATCGAGATTTTACCTAAAATCGAAAACTGGGGTAAAATCAAAATCGTATAATCGAATCGTAAAATCGTAGGATTTTAAGTACCATATAGAACATAACATATAAGAATATTAATAAGGTAAATTATTAATATCACAAAGACACATAGCATTTAAAATGATAATTCGGAAGATTTTTTTTCCATAAGATAATTCTCAAGATTAATGTTCCAAAATCACTATTTAATTGTTATTTAATGTGTAACTCAAAATAATTCATGATGAAGGGATATAGTTCATGGGTTTGGCTCTTATTTTCATGTTATGCCTAAGTTGTTTAACTCAAAGTAATATTTCGACATCGTCTACTAAGTATGATTTAAAACTAAAAATAATTGAACTCCAATAAAATAAGTAATGTTAGTGGCTTGGTACAAATATATTCATTAATAAATTAATTAGTTAATAATGATGTTAGTTCTTACATACTTCCAATATTAGGACAGGTGTTTTACCAATAAGTTAAATGGGGTGAAGGGAAAGAGATTAACCGAACCCTAATTTGGTTATTTTTATTATTTTTGAATATTTTTCTAATAGAAAAATATCTAAGAAGATTTCATTGCCCTTTCCGCTGAAACAGTTATACTTATTTTAAATTGGCTCAAACCACCTATTTTGTTCTCTTACGATCAAAATCCCGATTTCGGTACTATTTTACGATTTTAACGATTTTAGTCCCGATTTTAAACGATTTTAAGGTCCACCGATTTTATAGTAAAATCAAGATCGGAATCCCTAAGTAAAATCCTAAAATCCTACGATTTTACGATCAAAATCCCGAATTTGACTGCATTGACGATGGGTGCACGATTAGTGGGCCAAATAACAGTTTGGGCCCGTTTAAATGAAAACATATTTTTACTTTCGTGCTCAACAGACCGACCGCACTGGCATCTTCTAAATTTACCCCTAAAAAATTGCTCTGTACGCATCAAATTTGAAATGGAATCCCTCTTTTCTAATTTCACATTTCACATTTATATGATGTGTAGATTGTGATGAGTGTAGATGTAGACCTGTCATTGTCCTACAAATTCATTAACACGTCAAAAAGTGGTGAAATGAGCCACCCTATTAAACACAATCTTGTATAATGATCATTGGATGCAATCATGCCAGATTATGAAGAAGTTTAAAATGTAGCGGTTATCACGACTAAAACATTAAAAGAACCAGTCTCATATAGTTTGCACAAAGATATAATTTCTCCATAGTAATTCTGAAAAATAATATTAATTTAAGAAGTCGATATTGCTTCTACATGTTTAATATTGCAATTCGATATGCAATATTCGAACCAGTGATATTTGGGCTGCAATTTTAGGGTTATTGTATATTTATAAAATAGATAGAAATTTAAATTAAGTATTAAACTACAACTAAAATAATCAAAGTATTAAAACACCAAATAAGTACTTACGGGAGATTCAGTGGCCAACTAATCGTTAAAAAAGTCATATGATTTTCATAATTTAGGTTCGTGTATGTTTGAATTTAAATAGATACAATAAATATACTTAGTGTGATTGGTTATGATCTTTGCTTGCCTTTAAAGAGACCAAGGTTCGAATCCCGATGCATGCCTTTTTTATGAATAAATAAATAAGAAAATAAGCAATTGTGAAGACCAAAATGTCCTTCCTATAATCACTCTCGTTGCAGGAAATTTGAAATGGAGCAACAGTTTTCATCATTCGGCTTTTATTTATTATCTAGACTATTACATCTGAAGTAACACTACTACCTACGCCCACAATTATGAATCACTACTAATGTTCAAGAAACAACAAAATCATTGACGCAATCCCAAAAAGTTAGACAAGAGATGGTTGCATGCAATTGCACCGGTGAGGGAATCAAGAGTCGGATGCTCTCAAAAGAATACAATATCCGACGGCGGCCGCACCAGCGAAGGGGAGGGCGGGCGAATGCAAAACGGTGGAGGAGACGAGGCGGCACAGGGTAGGCCAAGGGTGAAAAAAATGCGAGAGCGGTGGAGGAGGCGACATAGAGAAGGTTGGCGAAAGCGAGGGCAACGACGACGTGTCGTCGTGGAGGCGAGGGCGAGCGAGTGCAAGAGCGGTGAAGGAGAGAGAAGCAGAGGTGAATTTGGTGAAGAGGAGTTCAGAGAGGAAGAGAAAGAGATTGGGAAAAAAGGAAAGAGAGAAAGATATGGATTAAAACTCTTCAAATCTCCTAATCTCGCCCACCCCACCCTTTTTCCTCCTAATATCATGTTTTGAAGACACGACTTAATTTTGGAATACCCACTACACCCTTGCCTCATGAGAACCGTCGGATTATAGAAAAAAGTATTAAAAAGCATTGGACGAAGATTACGACAGTTAGCACGGTGCTAACCCTTTAAAGGGTTAGTATCTCATCTCATTCCCCTCCTTAAGCAATGAGGCTTAAGGATCGGATCCAACCCAACATCTACGCACTCAACTCGACCGTGTTATGAGTAGGGATGACAAAATTATCTGAAATTGTGGATATTCGCCCAAATCCGACCTTATTGGGTAGGGTAAAACCGGAACTCGAATGATTTTTGGCGAGTACGAGTAAAACCCGGACCCGAATTTTGTGGATAATGGGTGGGCATGATTTTCTCACTACCAACCCCAACCCGCCTAATTATACATATGAATATGTATTTTGTCTGGAAATGATCATTATTTTTCTCAACATATTTTATATTTAGCATACAAATATAATATTTTCATGAAATTGTGTTGTTTTTATTAATTTTCTTCATTCTAGTGATTTATTGTTATACCTTTCCTCTTCTATAATGTGAGTATACATGTGAATGTTAACATGTTTGTTGAAGTTATATAGAGAAATATTACCAATGGCGTGGATACCCGAAACCCGAATAGATATGAGCATGTTTTTATATTTTCTACTCGATTCTTATGTGGGTATGGGTATGGATAAAATCCGAACAGTTTTGGTAGGGTAACGGATATGCACTATCCGCCCCTGACCCGACCCGTTGTCATTCCTACTTGTGCGGGCTCTTGGTTAGGGCGACGATCCTGATTATGCCCAAGTTCAACGTCGAGGCTCTCCTAGTGCAGATTCAGAGGTACAGGATCACCATCGTGCCATGGTATTGTCGATCACGAAATCGCCAGACACGGAGAAGTACCCCTTGTCGTCGCCCCATGTCCTCCACCTCCGTCGCGGTTACCGCCAAAAAATATCTCTTCACCCCTTCGTTCGTCGTCGCCGCCCTTGGCTAACTCTCCGTCTTCTCGGTTCATTGTAACCTAGGGCTCCAACTACTCATTCTGATAAGCATTTAGAGAGGAATCTAGAGGTTGCAAAAGAAACGACCGCCACTCAATCGATTTTGTTTTCGAGCAGAAAAATCGAAGAAGAAGAAAAGAGGAAGAAGGTGAAAATAGAGAGGCGAGGGTATAATGGGTGGCTATTAATGCACAACACATTCAAAGACGAGTTATTTACAAATAACTCATACCCAAACGATCAATTACCCAATTTTATACCTCAACGAGTTATTTTGATTCAAATAACTCACAACAAATTATTTGAGGGGTCGTTTGGATGAGTTTATTCGCAATGTGGTATTTGTAGACCCAAATAATGCATTTTTGTATCTTGTGGTATTTCAGAGTTATTTGAGATTCAAATGTGGTATTTTAATTTTAATTAACTTGTTTGGTTGAAAGAGTTATTTGTATGTGGTATATCATTAGAAAAACAAAAATTACTTCATTGCCCTTCTTCCTGGTCCTTTTCCCTATCATCACTACTACCAATGCCTGAAAGCAAAGGAATAGCCTACTCCCAAAATCTACAACAATAATCCCTCAATTCTGATGATGATGAAAACTATGAACATATGCATAACCACAATATGATTATGCATTCCCCAATTCTTATTGATTTTTCGGTGGCAAACGTGAAACAAAAATATGTAATCTGCAAGGTTGTCAACCCGCGGGTTGACCCACGGGTCGACCCACTTTGACCATAACCCGGTGAGAAAAACGGGCCCACGCACCCACCGGGCCGACCGCTAAAAGGTACCGGGTTAGAGGTCAAATTGTGTCATTTTTTTCATTGGTTTGCGAAATACGCCTATTTTCCGATTTTTCTTTTCGCCTAGCTCAATTTTTGGAATGCTAAGTTGAACATTTGAATATTTATGTTATATAAGTGTGTGTGAATTTTCACTATATGTTGGATCTATATACGATATGTTATTTTGGTGTAATATTATATGTTATAACTCATATGTTAGATAAGATTTGATATAATTTATGAAGATAAGTACAATATAATGACTTTTTCCATATTTCCGGGCCAAACCGGGCTAAAACGGTTGACCCATTAACCCTTGACCCACTAACTCGACCGGGTCCAGGTCAACCCGCGGGTTGACAACCTTGATAATCTGAGTGATCAAACGTGAAATTCACCGTTTATAATATGGTTGTATTCACATTCGAGGCTATAAGGCCGTGCTAGGATTGGCCGGTCTGAATTTCGCAATTGTGTGAAAGCGACTAAGCAATGAAGCAAAGGCAAAGCGCATGTTGTTCCATGTGTGAAACGTTGTTCATACTTCATAGACATAGTTCTCTCCGAAATTTCCACCGCAACGCTCCTCCACCATCCTCTTCATTTCTTCTTCTCCTTCCTTCCATTTTCCTTGGTATTAAAAGTTCCGTAGCAACACCTACCTGAATTTCCAACTCATTGTCGGATCTTGCCTGCTTAGTTCTCTGGTTCTTAAGAAAGGGTCGCTGACTTCGTCGAAGAGCTCAAGTTCTTGACGACGGAAGTTTTCTTTTCCCCCCTTTTTGCAAGAGAACGAATCGTCTATAGATCATCGAGAAACAATGGAGAAGGCAATCAATAGACAGAAAGTTCTGCTCGCTCATCTGCAACCCAGCTCTCAAAGTCAAACCCGTGAATCGCCCATCCTATCCGTGAGTTTTCTCTCTGTTTTTTTCCCCTTCTGATTCGACCTCTTCTTTTACTCCACGGGATGGAATCCGTTTCTGAAGTAGTCTGCACTGGGTTGCTTTATTATGAACCAAAGGCTTCAACTTGCGGCGCTGGGGATAGCGCGGCGTACCAGCGAGCTGCTGCGTTTGGGGATGACGTCGTGATTGTGGCGTGAGATTCGGGTTTTTCATTTTTTATAGCCTGACCTGTTACCTGTTTGTGAAATTGTCTCAATGAACTTCCTTTTTTTCTGTTTTATTTTCTGGGTTTTGATCGTTGGTCCGCAGAGCTTATCGAACTGCCATATGCAAATCCAAGCGTGGTGGGTTCAAGGATACCCATCCTGATGATTTACTTGCCCCTGTTCTGAAGGTCTGCCAAAGTCGACTTCTTTTGATATTTTAGACTGTCCTCTTCTTTTCATTTGATTAAAGAAAAAAATTAGTAATCGAGTCATTTTCCATTTTGACACAGCTTATGCAACGTACTTGCAGGCAGTGATAGACAAAACGAATGTTGATCCAAGTGAAGTAGGGGATATAGTGGTGGGTACAGTTCTTGCTCCCGGCTCCCAGAGGGCCATTGAGTGCAGAATGGCCGCTTTTTATGCTGGTTTCCCTGGTAACTTTGCCGCGATTCTTCATCATCTGCTTATAATTTTTCCTCAAAGTTAACGGGATCTTTCAGCTCCCCTAAGAATCCAGCCATAGCCTTTTATCTGAGTCCTCCCTCAGAGTGTTTGCTATTTCGCACCAACAAACTCTCACCGATTCCTAAAAGACGCCCGCAAGGCTTTATCATATAGATAATAGAATATTTCTTGTTTGCGCCCCAAGGATGAATCTTCATATCTTCTGTTGGAATTATTCATCTCGCTTTGTTATTCCACCAGATACCGTGCCTATCAGAACAGTCAACCGGCAGTGCTCTTCTGGCCTGCAGGCAGTTGCTGATGTTGCTGGTTCCATCAAAGCTGGATTTTATGATATTGGTAAGCCTAATGGTGGAGACTTGGGACGTTCCATTCTTTTGGTCACTCAACTCATACTTTTTACTGCTACTTGACCCCTCTTTTCCAACACAGGCATCGGAGCTGGTCTGGAGTGCATGACAATTGATAACATCAGAGGAGCTAAAAAATATAATCCCAGGGTAAATTAGGCTCCTGCTAGTTTGAGGAATCATTGATCTCTTCCCCTTTCTTCTTTTTCTTGGTTCTCAACGTATGCTGACTTGGATGACAACAGATTGAGAGCTTTGTTCAAGCCCGAGATTGTCTTCTTCCAATGGGTCTCACTTCTGAGAATGTAGCCCAGCGGTATGGGGTGACAAGGCTAGAGCAGGACCAAGCTGCCGTGAGTTACCTAAAGCCAAATATTTATGCAGCGACTACCTAGTGGAGCTCTAATTAGTGTGCTCTTCACACGTTGTCGTTCATTGTTGCTTAGGTTGACTCTCATCAAAAGGCTGCTGCTGCAACAGTCGCTGGTAAATTTAAAGATGAGATTATCCCGGTTTCCACCAAGGTAAAACAGTACAAGTTCAATGGGTTTGCCGAATTCTTCTCTATGTTCACTGGCTTCTAAATAAGTAGACTGAACTTATGGTGGTTGTTTAAGATTCTGGACCCTAAAACTGGGAAGGAAATGTCTGTGATGATCTCGGTGGATGATGGGATTCGGCCAAACACAAACATTGCAGACTTGTCCAAGCTGAAGCCTGCATTCAAGAAGGATGGGTCTACAACTGCAGGTACTTGTCAACGTCTGAAAGCAACTTTCCTTATCTGTGTCAGCAATGGTGGACTTATGGTTCTTGTCCAAATCTATGTCAGGTAACGCTAGCCAAGTGAGTGATGGTGCTGGAGCAGTCCTCCTTATGAAAAGGAGTTTGGCTGTTCAGAAGGGACTTCCCATTCTTGGTGTTTTCAGGTACTTATCTTTTCCTGGTTGTTCCTAATTCCTATCACGTCTATCTTTCTGGACCAGGTGGTGTGTACAGTTTAATGCACTTGGTTGCCTAGTTTGGTAGTCCAGAAATATCTGGTATCCGTTCCCTGGTTTTCGAATCCTCGAGGATCTTAAAGTTTTTTTTTTTGGTTTGATAAGTGCTTATTAATAATGAAAAACAAGTTAAACAAAAAAGGACAGCACAGGATCACAAGGTCTGATCCTGGCTGACCACAGTCACATAAAAACAAGACAAGAGAGAAAGCAAGAGCAGAGCCAGGTCAACCGAATCACCCACTGCATCTGCATAGAGAACACAACAAAAACCCTGAACAACAACGCGCCACAACCAAATCTCAACACTTACCAACAACAAAGTTGCACAATAATGTCAGCCCCAAGGCTGAACCAAAACAAAACTCCCATCAAGGAGAAGAAACTGGTATTGCACGAACCTCACAGCTATGTTGCTTTGTTTCTCCCCTGTTCAGGAGTTTTGCTGCTGTGGGTGTGGACCCTGCTGTGATGGGGATAGGTCCTGCTGTTGCGATTCCAGCTGCAGTGAAAGCAGCTGGACTGGAGCTTGCTGACATCGACCTCTTCGAAATTAATGAGGTGAAATTGGGTTTGGATTTCTTAGTCCCTTATTTTTTCTGTTTTTTCCCCCTTCTGAGGCGATAGTGGTGAGTAGTAGCAGAAAGAAAGAATGCATGGTTTGATATCCAAACATCATTTTTGTCCTTGGTTACCTTCCAGGCCTTTGCATCTCAATTTGTCTACTGTCGCAAGAAGCTAGAGCTCGATCCAGAGAAAGTCAATGTTAACGGCGGTGCAATGGCTCTTGGGCACCCTTTGGGCGCCACAGGGGCTCGCTGTGTGGCCACTCTTTTGCATGAGATGAAGCGTCGAGGAAGGGACGCTCGTTTTGGAGTCATCTCAATGTGCATAGGTCTGTCTCCGGAATTTTGGCTTCTCCATTCCCAATGCATGACTTTCATTTCCGAATCTGACTTTTTCTGCAACTGCAGGCTCAGGAATGGGAGCTGCAGCTGTTCTCGAACGAGGAGACTGCGTAGACGAACTTAATAATGCACGAAGCGTTGGCAACTAGTGGCGCGCTCGTATTTTGCCTTTTCGTTACGTTCCAATTGTCAAATCCACAACATCAGCGACTTGCGTGTAATGCAAGGATGCTGTTTAGAGTGCTAAGTAGTATAAGCTCTACTGTTAGTGGCCATCTAATGATAGCTGCCAGTACTAAAGAGTATTCACCGAATAAATTCGTCTGTTTGAGCTGGATTTAGCAACGGTCCTCACCTTCGTTTTATGAGACATCTTTTTTTCTTTTGTGTGTGAAATTTATGAGACATTTTCACAGCCTTCTAATCTTTATTTTCTACTTATAAAATTTGTTTTTTTCAAAAAACTTCTCGAAACAATCCTCAGTTGATTTATTATGGGAGTTAATATTTAAAAATTGAAAAATTTTGCCCTAAATTTGAGAAATGGACACCTTTGCCCGTAGCCCAATTTTTAACCTAAATTCTCAAATGAGCATTCCCACCACAAATCCCAAACCCATTGCTCGTTGCTGATGATGCTCTCGGCTGTCGCTGCTGTCACTGCTACTGCTGCTCCTCTGATACTCTTAGCTTGACGGGGGAGGACGACATGCTCCACCATTGCTCCCCCTGGTTGTGGATGTCATCCCCACCCGCTCGATTCGGCAACAGGAAGGGTTGAAAACCCGTCGCTAGCGAGCTGGACACAGTTTGAGACCACGTCTCTACCCCCGGAGTTAAATAGAAGTTCAGTTTATTTGTCATCATTTGGAATTTTACAACTCATAATCATTACTGCTTTTGTTTATAAAAAGTAATTTTTTATAATACAATTTGTACATTAAAAGTTATGGTACAAACTGGACATGTAGACATTTTTGGATAATTTTCTAAAAAGTTTTTTTTTCTAGTCACTAATATTCATATAACACATTTGAAATGTTTCTATGGTATACCTTAGGTCAAGGTTAGGGTGCTAACATCTAATTTATTAGCATGTTGCTAACAATAACTTAAACCAACATAAATATTTTATTTTATTGACTTTTTATATAGAAAGGGTTTATCATAATTTAATATTGATTTTAAAGGAAGAGAGATAGTTGTCATTTTGAAAAATTATCAGAGCAATAAGTGTGTGGACCATAATTATCATAAACCAAACCAAAAACAGGACAAACCACACCAAAAATATATAAAGTAGAATGGAAAGCTCATAATGCATACAAGAAGTTCTCCACACCACAAAACTAATATAGCACCATAAAACTTACCTCATATATCATAAATCACACCAGAAAACTTAGAACATGCTAAAAACGTAATAAACACACCACAAAACATATAAAATAGACAAAAAAAAGTCATAAAAGCATACTATAAAATATGGAAAGCACACCACAAGTTCCTGCAAATCGCTCCACCTCTGTTTGTACTTCGTAGATGGGGAAACAAGATCTGGGGTAGGGATGGTCCAATATGTGTATCTCCTGTGTGATAGCTTGTTGTTGATATAATTTCCAACACAAGCTACATGTGACTCGATCATAGAGAATGGTTTATTCAGGTTCAAGTATGCATGTGTTTATCCTTCACTGTTTGACTTTGAGTTTAGTATTTCTTGGCCTATTTTACGCTAGGTTGTGCTTCGTTCCTCGGACTTCGTGTCAAGTATTGAGGAGCAGCAGGATAACCTCAAGTCGCGGGCTGTTGTAAATGTCACGGCTTGAAGATGTGGCATCACCATCAAAGTCGTGACTTCCATCCCAACACGATGCGAATTGATGAGCATTAAAGAACACGGCCGTGTGCAGGCTGGTTTTGCAGATTATAAGGAACGACGAGCAGTGATGAACACATCCATTTCGTGGCTATGTTTCGTGAGTGTGTTTAGGCTGCTTCTGCGAGTTTTGAGAGGGGAGAGTTTAGTTTTTTTACCTAAAACACCCAAGGGGAATTTCAAAGAGAGGGAGAGGAACCTATGAGTGTTCTTGGAGCTAAATTAGAGGTACTCGTCCCCATTGGGGCGAGAAGATCAAGTCTAGAGATGAAAATTAAAGATCTTGAGGTTTATATTGTATTCTCCCTCTTTTCTATGGAATAGTTCTCCTTCACTTAGGTTTTGATGAACCCTAGCCATGTTCTAGTTTTGTGTGGTTGAAAATTATGTTTGAATGATTCTTACGCATGATTTTATCATGAAATTGTGTGGGGTTGATCACACTCTCCATGGGCTATCTAGTGTCGAGAATATTCAATTAGGGTGATTAGAACAATTCTCAATTATTCATTGTGGGTCAATTGATCGAGTGTGATATTAGACTACAATATCGTATTGGATCATTGCTCCTTTAGTGGGAGTCTAAATTGCATGCCCACAAAGTGCGAAGTATACTTCGTTGGGGAATCTGTTATGTACAAGAAGACTGCTATGATACATTGAGGATTCTATCAAGGCTCTCTGTCTGTTAGATATTTGGGATTGCGATTAATGTCTGTAAAACTGTCACAGCAGAAAACTGACACCCTGGTGGAGAACTTAACAAAGTAAGTGCATCCTTGGAGAGCAAAGAAGTTGTTGTATGCAGGGCAATTACAACTAGTCTTGGCAGTCTTGATGGGGATAATTCAGTACTGGTGGCATATCTTTATCTTGTCAAAGAAGGTTCTTAAAAGGATACCACAAGTTTGTTCAAACTTCTTATGGCATGGTGACGAGGTGGAGAAGGCAAAAGTAGCTAAGAGATAGGTTGGCTAGACCTAACAGGGAAATGGGATTGAGATTGAAGGACCTGGATTTGTGGAACGGGGATTGTACAACCAGATTGCTTTGGTTATTTCTAATGGAGGCAGGTGTAATTTGGATCGCTTGTATGCAAGCTCACAAATGTAAGCGAACTTATTTGTGGCCAACGAAGGTTTCACAGAGTAGTTCATGAGCATGAAGGAGGATCCTGAAGATTAGAAACTTGGTTAAACCATTTCTTTGTAACAGAAATGACTTAGTTTTCTAGGATACTCAAATAATGTTGAAATACTATGTCAATAAGGAATGTTACAGTCTTCTCCCTCGTAAATGAAGAAGTGTCTTGGTATAGACTGATTTGCATCCCTATCGAATATATTCATTCACATCGAAGTCCAAGCCCATGTTTCGCCCTATACAGAAACATGTTGAGATGTAGCAGTCGGTTCGAGACTTGTAAAGGCTTTATGAACAACGGAATCTGGTACATGAGGGAACGAAATTTATTTGTCACATCTTCTATCCCCCCCTAAGAACCCAGATTATTATCATTTATATAACGAGGTTCCAAAACAAGCCCGGTATTGCATGAATCTGAACGAGGCCAACCCTATATTTCCTTGTACAGCAGCTGATACTTGGGTATTCGCTCAGGAGGCAAGGGGCAGCTCACTATCAGCTTGCCTTTCATGGCTCCTCTGAATACAGCCTGCAAGAAACAGTAGCAATGTTTTTGTTTAGCTTCAACTACATGCGGTGATCTGAGAAGCAGAAAGGGTGTCTACCGTCAATATTAAATGCAGAAACATTTTATACAGAAATAATCCACAACAAGTTCTGCACTACAATGCTAAAAGCCACAGCAGCCACTTTGTTTCTTGTCAGCAAATAGCTAACCATTACATTTTCCCTATACTATGCACGGAGTTAAATTTCTTCCAAGACAGCAGACGTACAAGACCTGCAACTACCACTTTCACAACAATATACAGCCTACTTCATACCCTTTTTCAAATTTGGTTAGGCAGAGAGGTTTCATTCTCAAAGTATTTAAACTTGGCAAGCCGTTTCTAGCTATGTTCATCTAACTGCTTATGTTTCCTGTACCGAATTATGTTCCGAAAACTCGTATGGTTTTTCTTCACACTCCAATACTGGCCGACTAAATACTCAAACTTAGGAGACAGTAATGCAGAGGAAGAATGATGGGATACCTATGCTTCTTGAGTTTGAAGCTACCTTCCAGGCTTCCCTACGAATGTGCCCATCCAACCCGATTCCTAACACATTATAAGACACATGCCTTTTTCATGTTCATCACAATTCACAAGTTATCTATTGCCATGCTAACTGCAATCAGTCGCCACATCAGGGGAATCTAAGTTTCCCCACCTATTGCTATAGCCTTAATCTTGACAGTTCATAGAAACACACCCACTCCCCCATCTTTCTTCATTCAATGGTTCAAGAGACTGACTAACAGTTTTACTGATTAGTAACTGTGACAAAATGCAGAGAGCAAAAACAAAGGGGAAAACAAAAGGCATACCTCAACGACATCAATGAAGTCTTGTTTTGTGTGAAATGCACCAACCCATTTGGTGTGATCAGCAGTCCTGAACCAGCAAAACCCAAAGAACAGAACAGACCAAACTTTACGCATAAATGTTGGACAATCGAGAGGAACAGAGAGATACACAAACGCAGAGGAGAGAAATTTTGAAGTGGGGAGGGAGGATACCCAGAATCCATCTTCATGTGGTGAGCGTTGAAGAAGAAAACCGAGGAAGGAACCAATGTGATGTCGAAGTACTTGACGTAGACCTGGACATCTTCAGAATCGATGTCCACAACGGCGACGGTTGCGAATTTGGAGACCTCGCGCGCAGATTTAGACAGCTGCCGGAACATGGAATACAAAAAGATCAGCCCATGGATGTAGAGAGAGAGAGAGAGAGAGAGAGAGAGAGAGAGAGAGAGAGAGAGAGGGGAATGTTGTGAGGATTCATACAATGTCGTCGAGCTGGAGGCAAAGGGCATCGGAAGCGCGACCGAAGCGGAGGACGAGTACTTTGTCGATTGTGTCTCTAATGATGGAGTCCACCTGCTTCTTCTTCGTCAGATTCGGCAGTAGATAGCTCATTCTCCCTCGCACCTTCCTCGCGGGTAATCTTCGGCTCTGGCTCCCAGATTTTCACTTCCTCGGTTGATCATCAGACGAGCAGGTATCAGCGGCGCCCCGGCAAATATACACGCCGTCTCACAATTTTCTCGGATCTTCGCAATTTTGCCCCGTATCGAAATTTCTTTGCAAAAGCTTCCTTATTGCCAATGTTGACCCGCCGGCTGGCTCGCTTTGACCCTGATCCAGTGAGAAAAACGAGCCGTACATATTTATCGGGTCGACCCGCTGTAAGGTATCGGATTGGAGGTCAAATGACGTCGTCTTTCTTTTGGTTTGTGAAATGTGTCTATTTTTAGAATTTTCTTTTTGCTTAACCTAATCTTTGGAATTCTAAGTTGAACATTTGAACATTAATGTTATATAAGTGCGTGTGTAAATTTTCACTATATGGTGGATCCAAATACGACATGTTATTTTCGTATAATGTTTTCTGTTATTACTCATATGTTTGATGAAATTTTATATTATTCATATATGTAGGAACAATATAATGAGGTTTACAATATATTCGGGCTAAAGCGATCGACCCATTAACTTTCAACCCACTTGCTCGACTGGGCCAATGGGCTAAACCGGTTTGATAACCTTGCTTATTGCACATAGAACACACACCCCCAGGCCCCCACAAATACTTGTGCACACCTAACCTTCAGGGGTCATTAGAATTTTTTGTCAGAATCATCTCAACAGTTACATCTGGTGATTTTTTTAAAAGTTCATCCATCTATTATCTATATACACTGAGTACATTGAATTTCAGAGTTTTTACGAAAATTCTTTCACCTCAAAATGCATTTCATCAATTAAGGCTTGATTATTTTTTTTATCGCTCATGGAACTCTCTCGTTCTTTATTGATAGTAGATTTACCTAGAATGTTACATTACACCTCTTTAGGATTCAACGTCTTTATTGAGATTTGCCCCATCATTTTTCAAGTGAGACGCAAGAGGCTTTGATACCGAATCTCATGAGACTTCTTGAAATGAATTCTTTGTCGTGTCTCTTTATCAAGACAAAACCAAAATTTCAAAGGTCTCTCTTCATGGATGTATTGATGGTCGTCTATGATGTTTCATTTGATTTCGATAAAAAGAAGAGAGAATAGGTCTCTAAGGACTAAGATGGCACCACAAACTATATCAAGTCAATGAACCTTCCTCAAATGTCTTATCAAATGTGATGACTTGATACTTCGTGTTATCGATGATAACCTCAATTTTAATGAGAACTTGGAATGGACCGAGTCTTAGAAGTAATTATCTAGTTTATGACGGCAAAAAAGGGCTAGTAGAGAGGCAATCCAAATTTGGTTTTTTTCTTCTTCCTTTTACAGTTTATCTTATGTTTTCTAGCTTAGTGTTTGAATAAATATCTATTGAATGTGTGTCTTTCTCATATTGTGTGCCTTAACCAGCCTTAAAATATTCATTAAATCGATCTTTTTTGCCTTCTCTATTGGTTCTTCAATATGATAAAGTTATTTCTATATACTTTTACCTCGTGTCACGTACATTGGGAATAATGTGTTGTATAAGTGTAGAGTTGATGTAGTTTTTACTTGTATACTAATGTTTGTATGTTTTATGTGTTAGCTTTTTTTTTATTTACAACGAAGTTGTTTGCACTTCGTAAATGGAACAAAGTGTAGGATATACGATACAGACTACAAAACCTACGGAGTCGCTATAAATAAATAAATGGATTGCATATAGGTCATACCTTATATGGTGATTGTGAATGATGATTTAACATACTTGTGATTGCTTGTAGCCTTATGTATATTCCCAACTTTTTTCAAAATGAAGGGCTCCAAGCGAAGAGGATTGCTTGAAAGCCTTGTATATATTCCCAACATTTTTTCAAAATTAAAGGCTCCAAACAACCTCATTGTTTAAAATGTGTTGGAGAGGGATGAGCTAGAAGTGTTGGTTTAAGGTTAGATTTTAGTTGATAATATTATGAATAGAAGAAGGGTAATTAGAGGAAATTAAACTTCATGTGGGTTGGGATGTTATGTTTCATTAGGGTTGGAATATGGTGCGATTTGATCCAAATCATACCATACAGATGGTTATAGTTCGAACCCGGATACTGGCGCGCAGACCAAGGGCCCGACCAAATATTATGTGATCCAGACCAAACCATGCTTGTGCTTCGTGGGCCGGTACGATCTAGACCACACATACCACGTTGAGTAAAAAGTCAACAATTTGTCTGATCTAACACTCAAGAAATTGAACCAACAACCGAGAAAAAACAACATTTTCATCTTAAAACCTAAATTCAATATGCATGGACAATTTTGATACACTAAATCCAAGTGAATGACATAGACACAAAGTCTGAGCAAACCACCTTCCACCATAATGTCATATAACACTAACATAAATCTTCTTCATTCATATGTAGAGTGTAATATATGAATGAAGAAAGGGTGGATTTTCAAAATTAAGATTGAGACTTGAATTGTTATTAGCGAGTATGGAGAGTGGTCGACTTGGCTGGTAAATCTAATTGGGAAGTGAGTTTGGTCTACAGTCTACTCTTATAAACCGCGATCTGGACCAAAACAGACCAAGAGATCAAAACATCTCATAATACAGACCATGGATCAAACCAAATCACTTTTAACGGTCTATATCCCGTACAAAACTAGCGGAATATGTTTATAAAACTGGATGGTCTGGTCTAGCAACGCAACTCAAAGTTCGATATATTTTAGGGTTAATACCACTAGGAAACCCGAACTATTAACTTTGTGTCATTTGTGTCCTAAAGTATTCGATACGACATTTGTGTCCCAAACTATTTTTCCGTTAGAGTTGACCAATGTTGACCGTTAGTATTTAACAGAAAATCCAGTCAGCGTTGACGTAGCATCTGACATGGAGTTTTAAATTCAAAAAACAAAATAAAAACAAAAAACAAAATAAAACATAAACAAAATAAAATTTCCTTCTTTCTGTCGGCCTGTCACCCAAACACCACCCACCACCATCCCTTCCTTCCTCGACCCTAACCGCCGACGTCCACCACCCACCACCATCCCTTCCTTCCTCGACGTCCCTAGTTCTCGAAGTGATCGAAAAAATTGGACAGATCCAACCCACATCAGTTTTGATTCCGAAAAATCAACACTCCACTCATCTCGGCATTATGTTGTGATAGAAGAAATCGGATAATCCCACACGCAGCAGATCTAATTTCAAATCGGAAGAAATCGGAGGAGCAGTAGCTGAATAACCTGTGCGTAGAAGGAGGAGAGGCTGGGATGGATTCGACTCCCTGTTGTGGCATCATCGTGAAGAGGATAATTGCAGACGAGGGATTCCGCAACAGCTGCGGCGGAGGATTTGAGGTTGAAGATTGAAGAGGAGCCAGAGAGAGAACCGAAGGGGCGACTCTGTTGCACTATTGTTCATCATCGTCCCTCTCTCCTCTCCCATCTCCGCCTACTGCTTCTTTCGGCCGCGGAAACTGTTCCACTTGCTGTATCGGAATCGGAGCTTCGTCGTCTTCCTCCTCACCTTCTAGATCCACTTATTATTCTGCTTCATCTAGCTCCAAATCGAAGGATGTCCTCACCAGACAGTGTGGCAAGAATGGTAAATTGAGATGAGAAATGTGTTTGGTCTTCAATTAGGGGAAATGAGGGAGCGGGAGGGCGATGGAGGAAGCGTTGGGCGGCGGCCGAGGGTTGAACGGCTGGGGAGGGACATCGGAAGAGGAAGGGTTGTTGAGGGCTTGAGGGGGACGATTGGTGAGGTGGGCAAGCGGCCGAGGGCGAATCCGCTGCAGGCGAGAGCACTGCGGTTTGGGTGCGTGAATGGTGGCGGAGCAGAGAAGCACTCGTGAGCAGGAGGGAGTATCGCAGGCGAGAAAGAGGTGAGGGGATGCGGCGGTCTGGGGGAGAAAGATGTGAGGATATTATATTATTTTATTTTTTATTTTTTTATAACAATATATTATTTTTTTAATTATTTTTAAATTTTTAATTAAAAATATGAGGTGTCATTGACGTGGCATCTACGTGGCTGCCACGTCAACAAAAGTCAATGTTAATGTTGACTTCCGTTTGGTCAACCGTTATATATAACGGTCAACAAAATCGTCAGGACATAAATGACACAAAACTATAATAGGTTGGGACACAAATGTCGTATCGAATACTTTAGGACACAAATGACACAAAGTTAATAGTTCGGGTTTTCCAATGGTATTAGCCCTATATTTTAAGCAGTAATTAGGTATATATAAGGAATTTTTGTTGATAAGGTATACATGTTGGGGTTAAAAATCCATAATATGTTTTCTTCCTGCATGTAATTTTCACCTTGGATTTCTGTTATAAAAATGTGGAGGAGGCAAAAATAGTGAAAACTGTTTCCCTACCTATCAGCAACAATCGAATAAACTTACGGTGACAATCCACGAGCGAATTACACACCGCGGAAGTAGAAACGACACCAATGTCAACCAACTTTGGAGATCACGCGCCGTGTACGCGAGTGATGGGCCAACTGTCTCCACCACTGGTAAACGGCCACGTCACCCAAAATCGTTTAAAATTTCCAAAAGAAATGCGATGCACCGTCCCACAAAAACAAAATGGTTTTGAGGAAAAACTATTTTAGCAAAGATAATTTGATTTCATTTATAAAGGTAACTACTAACATCATTAAGCCTTGTGAAGATTCTCTGCAGTGCTGTAGTGGTCTTCTTCTTCTAGGGTTTTATAAGGGGTTTCTAAAACTTCTCCCCCTCCACCACTGCCCTTCCCACTCCTCCTCTCCTTCATAAACAGAGAGAAGAGAGCGAGCTAGAGATAACGCCATGGATATGTACACGAGAGTCGAGAAGCCGAAGCCGGAGTCGCCGATTAACGAGAACGAGATCCGAATCACCTCCGCTGGTCCCGTCAGAAACTATATCAGCTACGCTACTTCCCTTCTCCAGGTACTACTGAGTACTAACTTGCTTTGTTATTTCCCCTTCCGCCTCCGCTCTCAGACACGTCCTCTGCCTTCTTGCGTTTTTCTTCGCAATTGTTCCTCTGGTGTTTTGAACTTTTTCATGTGGATACTCCCCTCCAGCACGAGTTCGACGATTACATTTTGCTTCTGATTTGGGTGACGATTTGCCCCCGGTTCTGTTCGTTTTTTCATTTTGTGATGTCTGGCATTTGTTTGGGATTCTTCGGGTCCTTCCATTTGTCGCATTTGGTGCTGGGCTGCGCTGCATTACGAATAGGATGCCTGTAGGTTTTCGTTGAATGTGGGTTACTGCGTGTCCAGTTTCTGATCGTCTTGTAAGTGAGCGTCCGGTGTTTTCGTTGAATTTTGCCAGGACAAACATGCCAAAGAGATTGTCTTGAAAGCGATGGGACAGGCAATCAGCAAGACTGTGTCCATTGCTGAGAGCATAAAGGTAGTTTGGCTTTCGAAAATTTTTGGTAGTATTCCTTTCACACCTCAACTGTCCCTCTGTGTATTACAGACTGATTACCGATTGCTGTCTTGGCACAGAGAAGAAATCCCCGTTTGCACCAGGATACTGGCATTAGCTCAGTTAGCATTACTGATGTTTGGGAACCTATTGAGGAAGGACTTCTGCCGTGAGTATTTGATGGGTTTGCAGATTCAACTTTTTCTATATGTTATGGGTGTAGACTTCATATTGATTTTGCGGCATTCGTCTGCTGATTGTGTCTTTTATTCTTTGTTGTCCAATCCTAAGTATTCAATGTTCCATGCAGTGTGGAGCAGACTCGCCAAGTTTCTATGATAACAATTACCTTATCATTCAGAGAGCTAGATAAGAACTCTCCTGGGTAAGTTCATGTTATCTCACTTCTTTAGATATCTGATTTGTTATGTGAGCAGATTAGTAGCAATCTATGGCTTGCTTAACTTTTTTCCATTGATTTAAGAATGCAATCCCTACATGATGTGCTGGCTTCTGTAAGTTTTATGATTTTTTTTTCAAGCTCCACTTAAGTGATCTTCTGCTACTTATATATAATTTTGAGACTTGTGTTCTTGGTACCGTACTGATAATGTATGATCTTGGTGATTCTTTGCTCATAGTTATCAAGCACCACAAGCTGTGGAACAGTCAAAACAGCAATATCAGCAGCAGTCACAGCTTAGACAAGCACGGAATCCATATTACGAAGGTAACTTGGAGTTGAATGTGATGATGGTTGTAGAAGTATTTGCATCATCCTAACATGTTCATCATGTTACCTTTAGATTCATATGGTCGAGGACGTGGGCGTGGCAGAGGGAGAGGGAGAGCAAGAGGGCGAAACTGGGGCAGGGGTGGATATGGATATGGAAACTATCAGGGAAACTACGAAGGCAATTATCAGGGAGGCTATCAGGGGAATTATCAGGGAAATTATGAAGGTACCACTTCTATTGTCTACTCATCTAATTAGTGACTTTAGCCCTGATGGTTATCCCGAATGAGACCAGTTTCTTATTAGACTTTCTTATATTAGAAAATGGTGGTTATTCGAACTGGGGACGGGGTGGTGGCAGAGGCAGAAATTGGGGATATCGAGGTAACCTCATGCTAAGGGTTTTATGTTGTAATATTTTGTTCAATTTTGCTGGATTTTGTTTCGGATTACAAAGATATAATGACTTTGTCATTACTTTGGTGCTAAGACTGTGTTTCACCTGCTGTGTCAAACAGTTGTGTCTCTGCTTACATGTCTTTTTGGACTTGGATTCTTGTTTTGTTTGAGTGACTCTAATCTTGTCATGCACTTGATGGCTTGGGATGAAGGTGCTGGTTACGGAGGGGGCAGAGGTGGCGGATACGAAGGAGGAAGAGGTGGTGGTGGATATGAAGGTGGCAGGGGTGGCGGATATGAAGGTGGGAGAGGTGGTGGATATGAAGTTGGCAGGGATGGTGGATATGAAGGTGGGAGAGGCGGTGGATATGAAGGTGGCAGGGGTGGCGGATATGAAGGAGGCAGGGGTGGAGGAGGGAGGAGAGGCAGTGGATATGAAGGTGGCAGGGGCGGCGGATATGAAGGTGGGAGAACTGCTGGATATGAAGGAGGCAGGGGTGGCGGCGGATATGAAGGTGGGAGAAATGGTGGATATGAAGGAGGCAGGGGTGGCGGCGGATATGAAGGTGGGAGAAATGGTGGATATGAAGGAGGCAGGGGTGGAGGGAGAGGAGGGGGCAGGGGCTATGGGCGTGGGCGTGGAAGGATGGGTGGTCGTGCAAGGGGTGGCAACGACCAGGCATGACGAGGAAGATGATGAACGGTGCTCTTCAGTTTGATTTTGCAAAATGCTTTGCCTTGGCCGGTGGGCTACATTATTATCCAAATACTGTTTTAGTAGCATGCAATTGGGTCTTGCATGTTGTCTTCTGCATTTGGTTTTAGCTCTTGTATGCGTGAGTGCTTATGAATACGGACAGGCAAGGTTGATTTTCTGTTGGTTGGTCCCTCTGTTTCTTCATTTAGCCAAAGAGCAAAGAGGAGGTGGTTTCAAGTGAGATGTAAGTAGAGTTAAAAAACAATCACACTTCAGTCTGAAACCCTTACCCTGTTCATATCTCTGTTAGTGCCATCATTATTATTTGTTCGATAGTTCCTTAATGGTTTGCTGGTGTGACTGGCTCGCTACTTCCTTTACTAGCCTAGCCTGTGCCGGGTGGCAGTTGCAAGCTATAATTTGGTCTCTTATTTTTTTTTGTCGAAAAGATACTTGCATTAACAAGACAAAAAAAGTTACATCAAATCTATTTCCGAGCACAACCACGCTCGAAAATCAAAACCAACACTTCCCGTAGGAAACAAATCGAGGGCTTTCTTGGCCACCAAATGGGCCACCCTATTGTTCTGTCTACCTACAAACACCACACTAAACCCAACATTAGCTCCCAGCAGCCGACAAATTTCCTGGAAAATAGCCCCGGCCTTCGCATCCCTAATGGTCCCTGCATTCACTTTGTCGATCACCACCTTCGCATCACCAACAAATTGGACATTCGAAAGACCCGCCTCCGCACACCAGCACAGCGCATCCCTAAGAGCCATTGTCTCCACCAACATCGGATCAACCATACCAGAGAGACACGACCCCCTTGCCAATAGAATACCACCAGCCTCGTCCTGCAGAACCATCCCAACTGATCCATGCGAACCAGTAGAAATCGCCCCATCAAAGGCGCACCTGTAAACACCCGGCACGATACCCGGCTCAACCACCTGCACTGTCGGAGCAGTCACTCTCCCACTACTCGGAGCCAATCTATCCATCCATTCCTGAACCTGAAATCTGAACTACCTTTCCAGTGCAACAAATGTATCTTGCTGTCCCTCAAAAGCCACCAAGTTTCTAGACTTCCAAATTCGCCAGAGGAGACAAACAAGACGAACCACTCGCGCTGGAGAAGAATCCCGCTCTAAAAACCCACGAAAGAAGATAGGGAACGCCTGCTCTCGACCAATCAACCATTCATTCCGCAAACCCGACATTTCCCACAAAGCTACCGCCACCGGGCACCAGAAAAATAAATGTTCTATGTTTTCTTCAGGAGCCCAGCACACAGGACATCGTGGTAAAACCAAAACCTTCTTCCGGATCAAAGCCTCCATCGTCGGGAGAGTGCGTTGCAAAATTTGCCAGATAAAAAGGCGGAGCTTGGGTTGAACCTCAAGGCCCCAGACTTTCATCCATAACCCCCTATCAACCGGATCACACCCTGGCTTCTTTCTCATGCTAGCGCGATTCAGGCTCTCCGCTAGCCTATACCCTGACTTCACAGTATATACCCCTGACGGGTCAAGTCGCCAAACCCAGACATCCTCACTAGGAGTGCGCGGAATCGGTACTTGGAGGATAGCACGCACCGTGTTCAAAGTAAACGTCTGCAATAGACACTCTTGACACCAAGAACGTGTCTCCTGATCAATCAACGACACTACACACTCTCCGCCACCAAAGGGAGCCTCTTCTCTCATTTCCGGAAATCCCGGGAAAATTTTAGGGATCCATCCACTTGACATGATGGGAATAGATTCCCCAGAGCCAACCTGGCACCCCAATCCCTTCATCAATAACCGGGCACCATGGAGAATGCTATGCCAGGCCCACGAGGGGCGAGAGCCCAGTTTAGCCAACAAGATAGATCCCTTGGGGAAATATTTCCCACGGAAAACTTGGGCCAACAAGGAGTCGGGTTCATCAAGAATACGCCAGGCTACTTTGGCTAGTAAAGCTTGATTAAACTCCTCGAACCTCCGGAACCCCATCCCGCCCTCGTGCTTACTACGACACAGGCGACGCCAGGACACCCAAGGAATGCCCGACCGACCCCCCGAGGATCCCCACCAGAATCTAGCCATATGCTTATCCATCCTCCGACATAGGGTCACAGGTAACTTAAAACACGACATCCCGTGTACTGGCAAAGCCCCCGCCACAGCTTTTAAGAGAGTCTCCTTCGCTGCCCACGATAAATGTCGCTGTTTCCACCCTTTAATCCTCTCGAGCAACTTCTCCTCCAAAAACCGGAAGGTATCAGACTTTGATCTAGGCACCAACGTGGGAAGGCCCAAATACTTATCATGGACCCCAATTGCGCCAATCCCAAGGCAGCGCCCCATGGCTTCTTGCTCAGCATCTTCAATGTTCCGACTAAAACAGACAGCTGATTTAGCCAGATTGACTCTTTGCCCACTCAAAGCTTCATAATCCTGAAGTATCGCCTTAACATTGTGGCAATCCTGCAGAGACCCGCGCAAGAACAGGTACGAGTCATCTGCAAAAAGGAGATGAGATACCCGGGGCGCCCGAGGACTCACCCTCACCCCTTCAAGTCGCTTCCGATCTATAGCCTGGCGCAGCAAGGCAGATAACCCCTCCGTACATATGACAAATAGAAGAGGCGATAACGGATCCCCTGCCGAAGCCCTCTAGTTGATCGAAAGAAACCGGACGGGCTACCATTAACCATAACAGAAAAGGACGGCGAGGAGATACACTCCTGAACCCAACGAACCCAAACTCGGTCAAAACCCAATTTTTCAAGAACCGCCAGTAAGAAAGGCCATTCAACCCTGTCATAGGCTTTCTCCATATCCACCTTTAAGGCCATATAACCTTTCTTACCCATTCTCTTGATCTTGAGGTAATGCATAATCTCATGCCCAATTAAAATATTATCCACAATCTGGCGTTTCCTAATGAAACCATTCTGCCCTGAAGACACAACTTGCGGTAGAACTACCGCCATCCTCTCCGCCATGATTTTGGTAATTATCTTATACACAAATTGGCACAAACTAATGGGACGTAATTGCCGCATAGACTCTACATTCTCAACCTTCGGAATCAAGGTAAGCCAAGTATGGTTAAAATTGCGTAAGATATGCCCATTCTGAAAGAATGAGCGCACAACGTTCACCACCGACTCTCCTACGATATCCCAAAAGGCTTTAAAGAATTTTCCAGTAAAACCATCAGAGCCCGGTGCCTGCAACGACCCCATGCAAAAGACTGTCTTTCGTATCTCCTCCTCTGTGACCTCAGCTACCAGGGCACCATTCATTTGTTCAGTGACTTTTGCCTCCAAGGGGAGAGCAGCGACCCGATCCCGGATATTCCGGACATCCGCCTCAGCGGTGAACAACTGCTCATAGAAGCTAACCGCCACCTCCGCCTTCTCCGGTTCCTCTACCGCCCAGGTACCATCCTCCCTCTGCAGCTTGTCAACGAAATTCCTTTTTCTCCTGGTCCTTGTCACCGTATGAAAATACGATGAATTTTGGTCCCCCGTCCTGAGCCAACGCACCCTCGACTTCTGTTTCCAATGCATTTCTTCCGCAGCCCATTGCAAGGTGAGTTCCCGCTCCAATTGGTTAATCCGATCCCAATCCACCTGGGGTTCCTCTTTCAAGGCCCCAATCTCGGCCTGTAAGACACGAATCTGCCTTTCGGCATTGGTGGTCCCTGTCTTGCTCCATTGGAAAAGGAGATGCCGCAGCTTTTTAAGCCGTATCCACAACTGGTACATAGCCGACCCCTGGACCGGTTCATTCCACACATTCTCCACCATCGGCCAAACCTCCACATTATCCGCCCATCTTGCATCAAAGCGGAACAACCTCTTAGCCGTACGAGCGAAAGGTTTATCAGCCACAATCAAGGCTCTATGGTCTGAACCCAGGTCAGTCCCATGAACCATCAGCGACTCGGGGAAAGATTGCATCCAGCTATCAGATGCCAAGGCCCTATCCAATCGTTCCTGAATGCAAGCCTCCCCCATCCGCCGATTCGTCCACGTAAAAGGGTTCCCAGAGAAACCAAGATCGTGGAGCCCCAATACATCCACAAAATCCCGAAAAGGTTGTGAATGTACTGGGTTCCAAGGCCTTCCTCCTACTTTTTCATTAGAGGCTAAGATATCATTAAAATCTCCCACCACCACATATGGTATCACAATATCGGCACAAACTCGCCGCAATTCATCGATTTGCACAGCACGCTCAACCGCACGACAACTTAAATAAACAAAAACCACACAAATTTTTATTCCATCTTTTTCGACACAGACCGAAATAAAAAAAGACGAACTACTAAGCACCGAGACCAGAAGCTCGGGGGACCAACCCACTGCCAACCCTCCTGACGAATCAACAGCATCAACTAAGAAAAAATCAAAAAAACCTAAACCCCGAAGGCGACGAGACACAACTTTACGCCGCGATCGGGTTTCCGAAAAGAAAACAATTTCAGGATTATTAGACCGAACTACACCTAGGATCGACTGAAACGTGAGGGAAGGCCCAATTCCCCTCACGTTCCAAGCGAGAAGCCTCATTTGGCTGCCTGGGGCCGCTCAAGGCCGGCTTCCTCCACCTGGTTATCATCATCAATCTTTTTTCCGATCTCGTCCCCAATTGGGACTTCTTGAGGCGGAGCCTCCTCCATAGAATCATCAAGGCACAATTTCTTCACCGGGGTGGGATCTTTAGTAAGATCCTCCACAAGGTCCACCGGCCTCTTCCTATCCCCCATCTCATCATCCGATGGCGCTGTCATTCGGAAGGCAACTTGCTTGCCAGTCAACGGGGAAACCAGATTCCCAGAACCCGCCACCTCCTTTGTCCCACCTTCTGATTCCGCACCCACCTTTTGAGGCGCACTGCCCCCCACCGACCCATCCTCCTTCGATCCCACCTTTTGAGGCGCACTGCCCCCCACCGACCCATCCTCCTTCGATCCCACGCCAGCTGACACTTCCTTCCTCCATCCAGCACGAACAGTTCCCCGCTTCCCATCCTTCTTAGACTCCTTCCCGCCACCTGTCTCTCTAGCTGCAGTACTGCCTTTACCCTCCCCCGTCTCCATTTTGAGCAGCTCACCTCGAACTTTAAGAATCAGCTTCGGCGAAGTCACAGAACTCGCCCCACCTGCTGCATCTTTGATATCAGCCCTCGGCTTCCCCAGTACGGACTTGGCCACCTGCTTCCCCTTTCCATCTCTCGGCGCACCACTATTCTTCTGCTCACCAAGACCCAGCTTCCCACGATCTCCTTGCCCCTGTCCACCACGAGCAACCGCGCCATCCGACCTTCCAGAGACCCGGTCCCCTGCCACGGCAGGAATCGATTTCTTGAGCTCCCCTTTGCCAACCTCCACCTTCGTCCCCTTCCCAAGAGGG